CTCTCTCTCTCTCTCTCTCTCTCTCTCTCTCTCTCTCTCTCTCTCTCTCTTTCTCATAATATTTGGCTATGAGCCTCTGTAACTACTCTTATCTGCTGCCAGAGAAAGCTTCACTGATAATGACTAAACAACCACCATTTTATGTGCTATGAGTATCAATAGGAATAAGAAATCATTTCATTTTTGACCAATCATGTTTGGCCAACAAAACAAAGCAAAAAAAAAAAAAAGTAAAAACTTAAGAATCTATTGGTCTGAAACAGAAGTTTACAAGGTTGGGTTTTTGTTTCGTTTTGTTTTGTTATTTCACTTCTTTTTCTCATGGGATTTATGCAAATTTCTGGCAGTCTAACCAAAGATCATTTAATTTGACATTGACAATACCCAAGGAGGCCAACACTCTCCTCATTTCTTTTTGCTGCCAAGACTCTGCAGTTCTGCTATCAGATGAGTAGTGTGGGTTTTTGTGAGGCACCTTTTATAACAGCAGGAACTGTGTAATACCCCGAGTATCCAGAGCAGCAAAACTGGTGAGAACCTGAGGTTTACTCCAGAGCCCCTGCCAGTCAGCACTTCAGCTGTAGGGGGTGCTTGGCAATGCTCTTCTTCTGTTTGCTGGTTTAGAAATTACTGGAAATGCTGAAAGATACATTGTGATGGCAAATAACTGATGATAGATTTTAAAACTGGGAATTCTAAGAGGACAGTTATGGATAACCTACATTCCAATCAGTAGACCTTCTGACTGTCCCATCTGCATTTGAAAGGTCTCACATTCATTATCTGTGTGTCTCCTTTACCCTCAGTTTTTCTATGTAGCCCACACTTGCCTATTTTGTTTTTCTGTTTTTATTTTATTGAAAATGTTGTTTTAAACAATGTATTTTGTTAAAGTTTCCCCTCCCCCATTCTCCTCTCAGATATTTCCCACCTCCCTTCCCATCAAGATCCATATGCTTTCTCTCCTTAGAATACAAACAGGTATTTAAAGAAAAATAATAAAATAAAATAAAAAGAAACAAGGAGGAACAGCACAAGATAAACAGAAAGAGAAAATATGCAGAATAAAAGAAAAAGATGCAGAGACATCCATTTATACACACAAGAATTTAATAAAAACACAAAATGGGGAGCCATAATATATAAAGGATTTTTATGTTTAAACAAGTTTCCTGAAAACAAAATTATGAGACAAAAGTGTCCAGTGATGCCAGCTTGCTGACTTTGTGTTGGCCATCTACTGTTGGGCATGGGACCTGCCCTTAGGAGTGGTTTCTATCCCTAATAAGACTCCTTTGGAAAGAATTTTTTATTTTAAATGATTATCAATTACAGTTACCTTCTAAGTTTAGGGATGGGGATTTGTATCTGCTTCCCTAGTCCGCACTGTGACACATCTGTCCCTGACATGTTAGGCCCTGTGTCCGTTGCTAGTTACATCGTATAACAGGCCTGCTGTATTTAGAAGACATGACTTCCGTAGAGTCCTCCATTGCTTCTTGCTGTTACACTGCCTTCTCTTCCATCACTTTCTCTAAGACCTGAGGGGAGGGATTTGACGGTGAAATTCCATCTACTACTGAGTGTTTCACAGTATCTCACTCACATTCAGAACCTTACAGGTCCGTCGTGTTTTTGCTAGATCTCTATTTACAACCCTAATAAACGTCCTGGCTGCATAAAATCTCAGGCAACATGTGAGGCTATCATAATTAGCTGACTCTTTGCATCATGCCTCCTTGAAAATGGGCGTTACAGCCTTTGAATGCATTGGTTTCTAATATTTCCTTCAAAGCAACAATCTAGCCAGGTATAGTGGTGGATAACTGTAATCCTAGGACTGGGAAAGTAGAGGCAAACTGATCTATGTGATTTTGAGGCTGGAGTGACTCTATACAGCAAATTCAGGGTTACCCTGACTATATATTGAGAACCTGTCTCAAAAGTAAATATGTAAAAATTCTATTAACTATACAGATATGTTTTCACAACTTCCCTAGTGGTAGTGTTCACTTCAGGAGAGAATTATCTTCTGAAGACCATAGTTACTCTTTGTCTATACTAATCAGTTTCTGTTTATAATAAAGGACAGGACCTTCACAGTATTTTCAGCTGTCTACATCCTAAGTGTCTGTACATCGTCCAAGCTTTCTTCTTAATTGTGACACATCTTTTTTCTGGAAACCATTAAATGAGACATGAAGATATAGCGCGCGCGCGCGTGTGTGTGTGTTTGTGTGTGTTTGTGTGTGTGTCTGTGTGTGTGTGTGTCTGTGTGTGTGTCTGTGTGTGTGTCTGTGTGTGTGTCTGTGCTTGTATGTGCTATGTGTATATTCATACATCCTGAGAAGACATAATGAAAGCTCAAATCACATTGATACCATTATTCTATTGCCCCAGATATCCCCCTTTTCTTTTTCTTTATTAAACATTTTCTTTATTTACATTGCAAATGTTATCCCCTTTCCTGGTCCCCCCCAAACCCCACTACTCCATCCCCCCAACCCCTGCTGCTATGAGGGTGTTCCCCCATCCACCCATCCACTCCCACCTTCCTGCCCTGCCATTCCCCTTCGATGGGGCATGGAGCCTTCGTAGGACCACAGGCCACTCCTCTCATTGATGCCCTACAATGCCATCCTCTGCTACATATGCGGGTGGAGCCATGGGTCCCTCCATGTGTACTCCTTGGTTGGTGGTTTAGTCCATGGGAGCTATTAGGGGTCTGGTTGGTTGATATTGTTGTTCTTCCTGTGGGTTTGTAAACCCCTTCAGCTCCTTTGGTTGTTTCTCTAACACTTCCATTAGGGACTTTGTGCTCAGTCCAATGGTTGGCTGTAAGCCTCTGCCTCTGTATTTGTCAGGATCTGGCAGAGCCTCTCAGGAGTCAGCTATATCAGGCTCCTATCAGCATGCACTTCTTGGCATCCACAATAGTGTCTGGCTTTGGTGACTGTATATATGGGATCGATCCCCAGGTCGGGCAATCTTTGGATGGCCTTTCCTTCAGTCTCTGCTCCACACTTTGTCTGCATATTTGTTCCTATGAGTATTTTGTTACTCCTTCTAAGGACAGAAGCATTCACACTTTGGTCATCCTTCTTCATGAGCTTCTTGTGGTCTGTGAGTTGTATCTTGGGTATTCTGAGCTTCTGGGCTAATATCCAGTTATCAATGAATGCATACCATGTGTGTTCTTTTGTGATTGGGTTACCTCACTCAGGATGATATTTTCTAGTTCCATCCATTTACGTAAGAATTTCATGAATTCATTGTTTTTAATAGCTGAGTAATACTCCATTATGTAAATGTACCACATTTTCTGTATCCATTCCTCTGTTGAAGGACATCTGGGTTCTTTCCAGCTTCTGGCTATTATAAATAAGGCTGCTATGAACAGAGTGGCACACGTATCCTTGTTATATGTTAGAGCATCTTCTGGGTATATGCCTAGGAGTGGTATAGCTGGATCCTCAGGTAATGCTATGTCCAATTTTCTGAGGAACCACCAGACTGATTTCCAGAGTAGGTGTACTAGATTGCAATCCCACCAACAATGGAGGAGTGTTCATCTTTGCCACATCTTTGTCAGTATCTGCTCTCACCTGAGTTTTGATCTTAGCCATTCTGACTGGTGTGAGGTGGAATCTCAGGGTTGTTTTGATTTGCATTTCCCTGATGATTAAGGATGTTGAACATTTCTTTATGTGCTTCTCTGCCATTCGATAATCCTCAGTTGAGACAAAGGACACTGTCAACAGGATGAAACGACAACCAACAGATTAGGGAAAAGACCTTTACCAATCCTACATCTGATAGAGGGTTAATATCCAATATATATAAAGAACTCAAGAAGTTAGACTCCAGAGTATCAAATAACTGTATTTAAAAATGGGGTACAGAGTTAAACATAGATACCCCCCTTTTCAGTGAAACATGGATTATGGTAGAAAAGTTTGTGCATTGGTTAACAAGCAAGTATTGTTATTATTCATATTTGGAACTAGATTAATTAAACTGTATCCATTGTTGCCTCTGCCTTACAAGTAGAGTCACTCTGACACTTTCCTACTTTAGCCACATTTAGTTTTTCTTTCACTAATGTATACGTTTTTTTCTTGTTCCTATTTTAAGGTCATTTGATTTTTAGACCTGTGATATTTATGTAACTAACAAATTTCCACACACTCATTATCACTTTTCCAAATTAACTTGCTTAATGACTCCCTATATATTATTTCTTATGTTCTTTGAGAACATGCTTACCTCAGACAGACAATGGCTACTTTACCCAAATTATTCAGTGGACACTTATCATAATTCTCCCATCGGTAGTAAAGCATTGTATACCATCTACCTGCTTCACATTACCAATGGTACATAAAGTTTTGTGAGAATAGTTCTGCTATATCTTCATTGTGGTTCTAATGTTGTAGAGGAAGCAATTTAATAATTAATAAATTATATTCATGAATAAATTTTAATTAATTATATTCGTTGGATTTCTATTTTGTTTTAGACACTTCTAAGGATGATTCCTTATTTTCAAGTCTGGATGTCACTGACATTGCACCAAGTAGGAAGAGGAGACACCAAATGCAGAAGAATCTTGGGACAGAACCTAAAATGGCTCCGCAGGAGTTGCTGCTACAGGAGAAGGAAAGGTGGGTGTGTGTAGCGTGAGGTATTAGAAATGAGGAGTCTGGCTGGCTCCAGGATTAGCTGCCATGTTCCCACACTAACACTGACACTGGCAGTGATCTCAGTAGCACTGGCTGGGGTCCCTAAGATGTTGACGTGGCTGCTGCCTCTGCCTGCCATCCTCAGCCTCCTAGGCTTTTGGTCATCCCTGCCACCTCCATGGTGCGCGGCTAGACCCATGCAATAACCGCCATCCATCCACACGGTTAGATATCACAATACTCATTAACCCGGTAAAACAAAACTCTTAATGCTTATAGTTAACCGAACAGATTTATATATCAGCAAATACGAAATCCCAAGATGTCCCCACAATTTAGACAAGTTATCCCAATTATTCTAACCTTTAAATTTCATATCTACCTATGCTACTTGAAGCCACGCAGGTCCTTGTCCGCTGCCATTTTCACCTTTCTCTTCTTCCCCCTGCATCTCTCTCTGAGTCCCCCTCTGCCACCCTTAGCTCCGCCTCCCTTTTTTCTGTCCAATCACAGGCCTCCCACTGCAAATCTATTGGACTGGGCAATTTCTGCCAACAGTGTGCACATCTCTACAGCTATGCTACATCCCCATATAGACCACCCAGAAGATTAGAGCTCCTCATTTAGTAACTTACTTTTAGAGATAAAAATTTTGATTTGGGATATTATAAAGCAGTTCGGATGATATCTTTTTTCCTAGTATTTGATTAATCTATATTAATATTTTAAGGCCAAATATTAATTCCTAAACTATAAGCAGGGTTTTGTTGTGCTTTTCATAGTTTAATGAGAGAAGATATGTAGAATACTAAAGTTTTAGACTGCATCTTGTGTTCAGTAAGCATTGCAATGCAATTTATGGCTTAAAGGGCACCAGATCACATTCCCTTTAGACACTCTAATTAGCTTGTCCCCCACCTCTTGGAAAATCCCTTTCTCTGGTCTTCTGTATACTTTTACCAAACCTTGACTGTATATGCTTTATTTTTACTCTGTCTTTCAAACTTGAATTTATATTCTAATTTAAAGTAAAAATTATATTTCAATATAACAAGACAGTGAATATTCATAAATGGTATTATCAGGTGAATTCTAAGTGAATGTGTGAGTTGATATTCAATGAGCATTTACTCTTTTTCCTATACATTATGGTTAATTTTGAAGATGGTGTTATTAGCTCCTTGCAGCATGTGCAAAGGGAACTCCCATGGCTGTCAAGGCCCTCCCTTGTATTCTTTCCCTTCCCTTCTTCAAGTTTATACCTATGTAAAGCTGTGTTTTCTTTATATCCTCATGAATACAATGTGACATGGGTGAACATGTACAGAAGCAAGTAAAAATTGTACTACTTTCAGTGAAGGCATCACCAAACCAACTTGCAAACAAGCTGCTGTTTGTTTGTTTGTTTGTTTTCCTGCTTGTTTTGAAAATATAGTAATAATTCAATAAGAATAAAGTTATTCCAGTAAGTGAAAAAAAAGGCCATGAGTTGGAAGGAGAATTGGGAAATGTGTATGGAAAGGTTTGCAAGGAGGAAAGGAAAGGAAGAAATGTTATATTATAATCTCAAATTTTAAAATCAATTCAAAAATGATGTTATTCACGTTGTCAAAAAGATTTGTGTAATCTTAAAATATTTAATGAATATTATAGTGATAATTTTCGAGTTGCCCTCTGTATTTCACATGAACAAGAATGTGGATCAAATACTCTTGATATGCTCAAATAGTTTAAAACTGTGAAGTTATCTTTAGACCAAAATCTTTTATACCATCTATAAGGAGTAGGATATGTTGAGGTGTAAGCCATGCCTCAGGAGTCTGGCAAGATAACAGGAGAATTATTAAAAGTTTCTGGCATAGAGAAGTATCACAGATGGTTATAATTGCTCTGGTCTATAATCCTAGCTCTCTTATGTCTGGGGATTGTAGATTGTTTAAGGCCAGCCTTGTTGTACACTTAGCTCAAGGCCTATAGAGTGAGATCCTATCTCTAATACAAAATAAGCAAAATCATGGTGATAAAATTGAACTGATTTGTATATTATTTATTTCTGAAAATGTGCCTGATGTATTTTTCACTTACACAGAATCCATTGTATATAATGCATGTGTCTAAATAACCTCTTTTAAAAATCAATATACAACGAACTCTTGCTGTTCAGGTTTGTCATCTGAGTTCATCCCTCACCTCTAAACCATTGGAAAGAGATACTGCCATTCAAGACATACTATGCCTTACATAGTGAAGAATTATTCCTACATTATATCAGAATTACCATACTATTTGTATAGATTTTGTTGCCAAGAATAAATTACCAATTACCGGCAACTCAGAAAACTCTTTTCTTCATTTGGCGTTCAGTAAAATGTAACTCATGGATATGAGTGACGTGCCGGGCATGATAGCAAATCTTAAGGATTCAGGAGAGTTGAAAACAGAAGTAATTACCCGATGTAGCTTGTTCTTTATGTTCTGATTGTTTTGTTTGATGAAAATCTTCGTTTGTAAGGAAGCAAACATGTTGAATTACATGGGAGTGCAACATTTTATACCTCTCAGTGTTCAAGAGAACAAAATATAAAGTCTAAAGATTATTAATATTCCCTATGTACACCTTGTTACTAAGACAAGTTTCTGATATATACATTGTAGACAGGTGAGAGAATTTTAGTTCTGAATTATGACTATTTTTATAAAACTTTAAAATAAAAGTAAATTTCTTTTGTTTCTAAAAACTTCCATATTAAAATGTTCCTTTCTATTTTGAAATGATTGTCAGTTTGTTAAGTATATTTTCAATATTTTAAAAGTTGTATTATATCATATCATCTTTTTTGCATTGTGTGCCAATTCTTGTGGGACCATCTGTGAAGACTATTTCTATATAGAACTTGAAAGCATAAATAAAAATTCTGACGATTAAAGGCAATTTAGCTTAGTACTTGTCAATTAGAGGTTGAGTGTCTAACACCCTGCTTTATAATTCCACTTTCATCATCCAACTTAATTAAGATGTTAATATATAAATATATACCTTATTTTTTGTTTTTCACAAAGCCATTTTCATTTTGAATATTCTAGGCTGAAATTTTAGAGCTTGCACAAAATTTAATTACTTGTTCCACATTTCCAATTCCTTCTGTGGAAAAAGAAGCTTCTGAAAAAAGTATATTCTTATCCAGAAATAAATCAGAAAGCACCAATGACAAGAAAAAAGTAGACTAAGACAGGCCAAGGTGGGGCGGGTATTAGGAGGACGTGCCGGGTGTGATGAGTAGCCTTTTCAACCAGACCTTTTCTTGTGTATTATACTGCTTCTTAAACACATTTTTTTTTCTAAAAAGTATTCTCATTAGCAGTGTATATATAATTTAGGTTAATTCTAGGGTAATGCCATTAGCTTCTCATGCAAATAGATTGTTACTGTTTTAAAGCATTTAACTGTTGGTAGATAATTAATGAATCACTATGTCTTATAACTGTTTATATGATATTCTGCCTCATTTTATGGTACTGAGGGAGGTATAATCTTTGTAAAGTTTACTAAAATATATCAAATGTTCCCTTGGTATATTCATAAGAATATTCAGTAGAAATATCTTCTAGACTAGAATATAGCTCTTTTGGTTGAGTGGTTATCTAGCATGCACAAAGCTATGGATTCAATCCCCAGCAATGTGGTATGGTGATATAGCCCAGTACTCACAACAGAGGTGATGGAAGCAGAAGAATCAGGAATTCAAAGTCATCCTCTTTGTTGACTACATAGTGAGCTTAATGCCTGTCTGGGCTAAATGACATACTGTCTCAAAGACAGTGGGGAAGAGAAACAGAGAACATTATGTGTAACTCATATAAAATTTTAAATATTTGGGTCATTCCCTGTTTTAGTTATGGTTTCTATTTCTGTGATGAAACATCATGACCGGCAAATGCGGGTTGGAGAGGAAAGGGTTTATTCAGCTTACACTTCTTCATTGCTGTTCATCAACCAAGTAAGTCAGGATAGGAACTCAAACCATGTAGGATCCTGGAGGTGTAGGAGCAGATGTAGAGGCAATGGAGGATTACTGCTTACTGGCTTTCTTGTAGAACCCAGAACTAACCAGCCCAGGGAAGACATCATCCACCATGAGTTGGGCTCTCCATCATTTATCACTAACTGAGAAAACTCCTTCCAGCTCTATCACATGGAGGCATTTCCTCAGTTGAGGCTTCTTCCTCTCTGTTGACGCACAAAGCCAAACAGTGCAACCCCTTACAAGATTATTTCTTCTGTATCTCCTCTGATAGCTGCATAGCCTCACTAGTCAGCTGCCACCTAACTCTGCACTGACTAGGGAAATGATAGTAGACATTATTGTTTTTTCCTATGACTTTCCATATACTGCTGAATAAAGTATTCACCTTCCTTTATTTCATATAACTTACTCTGTATGACAGGATGCAATTATCTATTAACCTCAATGGTGTCCAGGATGTATTAGACCACAGAGGATTCATCCTGAAGACTCAGCATTTGATCTATAACCTGAATGGAAAGGAGGAGTTACACAGAATCATGGAGGAGGGTTGTAGATAATAGTGTAGATAATAACAGTATCTGCTGGAAGCACATATTCGGGAGTATGCATGTAACAGAAGAGAGTAAGCCAGAAGGTAGAAAATGCTGGTGCTCTCAGCATTTTAGCATGTTAGGAACTCTGCTTCCATCCCATTTAGAAGCAACACTGCTTTTGATATTATAGAGCAGTTCTTTCTTCAGATTTCTCTGCCTGTGATACTGCTTTGTAACTCTTGTTAAAATATCAAATTATTCCTTTCACCTCATCTCTATACTCTTAGGACCCAGCATCTTGGTGCATGCCAAGGACCACCTTGTTCTTTCCCTTTGCTTCGTTTCTTTATGACTGGGAGGACCAGTAGAACCACTCTCTACCAAGAATCCAAAACTGCCACATTGGGCTGGGACTTCCTTC